CAAAGTTGCCATTATGTTTAAAAGAGGAGAGTTGTGGCAGGGGTATGAGCTACAATGTCCTTTGGAGCTGTCCCCCTGTAACCTGGTATCTTCTCTTGGTCCTGAGCAGGATTCCCAGGACAGTTCAGATGGAATACCTTCAGCGCCACGCATGACTGGCAGCTTGGTGTCTGACAGGAGTCACGACGACATCGTCACCCGGATGAAGAATATTGAGTGTATTGAGCTGGGCAGGCATCGCCTCAAGCCGTGGTACTTCTCCCCGTACCCCCAGGAGCTCACCACACTGCCCGTCCTCTACCTGTGCGAGTTCTGCCTCAAGTATGGCCGTAGCCTCAAGTGTCTGCAGCGTCACCTGGTATGAGTAGTCCCCGGAGTCTGCCCTCCCAGCATCCCAAACCCTACCCTCACCTCTGACCCTCCTCTCTTCCTCAGACCAAGTGTGACCTGCGGCACCCACCAGGCAATGAGATTTACCGAAAGGGCACCATCTCATTCTTCGAGATCGATGGACGGAAGAACAAGGTCAGTAGCTGAGGGCAGTGGGGCCTGGGCTAAGTCAGGTGAGCAGCTCTTCCTGCTCTGGGACACTGGCTGGTCTGGAAAGCAGATCTATGGAGTCAGTTTTTATTGAATTCCTGCCCTGGGGTGGTACTGGAGGGACATGTACAAGACCAGGAATTAGGATCTGTTCTGAGCTCGTGGTCTGTGGTAGGGAGGCAATGCCAGCAGCTACTCAGATCCTGGGGTGATAAGTGTCATGAAACAAAGAGTTAGCAGGCTCCAAAGGAAGTGGTCATCAAGTCTTCACAAAAGGTGACTTTGGGCCTTGACAAAGACAGACCTACAGAGTTAGTGTGGCCAAGCAGAAAGAGTAAGGTTGTTACAAGGAACAGAATTCAGGTGACAAGAATGAGCTCAGTAGTGGGGGACAGACAAGGTTTGGGTTTATGCCAGTGAGAAAGAAGAAACCTAGAGACTGGTGAAAGTGGAGCCCCAAGAACAGTGAGGGAGAAGCCAACCTCCTTCCTGTTGGGAAGCTCCAGCCTGGGCCTAGGGAGCCTGGTAGGAAGGTGCCATTTTTTTGGTGGAAGTGCAGGCCTGGGTGTCCAGAGCTGTCTGAAATTCCCGTGGAAATTGTATGCGGAGAAGTAGCAAGATTCAGTTTTGCTAGGATTGGAGGCTGAGGTTAAATTTCAAAATCCTTAGCTCCACCATTGTATACCTCAGTCCGTAACAGGAGTGACTTCAGGTTAGAGTTACCACGGTTTGAGAGCGACTCCCCAGACCGCCAGGCAAAGCTTCCAGTAAGACCTTGTTGGAGTCTCACTTCATGTGTATGCATTATTATTGACTGTTATTAAATTTGGGTAGACAGTGCTAGGGTCTGGGCGACCAGGCTTAGGTGGCCATACAGGTAGCATAGGAAAGCTGTGTGAGCCCACACACTGTGACCCCAGGGAACTGTGCTCATTACCTACCCACCTGGGATGAAAAGCAGCAGAACAGTAACGGCCTTTTCCTTTGCAGAGTTACTCTCAGAATCTGTGCCTTTTGGCCAAGTGCTTCCTCGACCACAAGACCTTGTACTATGACACAGACCCCTTCCTCTTCTATGTCATGACAGAGTATGACTGCAAGGGCTTCCACATTGTGGGCTACTTCTCCAAGGTCAGTGCTCACCTGGCTGTGCCTCCGCCCGCCCTGGGCCAGGCCCCCTCTCACACTCGGCTGCCCCTCTTCCAGGAAAAGGAGTCCACAGAAGACTACAACGTGGCCTGCATCCTGACGCTGCCTCCCTACCAGCGCCGGGGCTATGGCAAGCTGCTCATTGAGTTCAGTGAGTATGTGTGCCGCCCAGACAGGTGCTGGCGGATTGGCAGAGCCAGGCCACACATCAGCACCCACACAGGTGTGCTGGGTGTCTATGCAGCTATCAGTAGAGGAGCCAGCCAGAAATACAGGTGGAATTCTCTCCAGGTGCCCTCCCTTCTCAGGATGACCTCCCTGCTTTTGGAGTAGGCTCTTGGGCCTTACAATCCCTTGGTCAGGGTCCTAACTTTCCCCAAATATGACTTAGCTGCTCCTCCTTAGAGCCCTGGGCACCTTGAAGAACTCCTGTTCATCTGTCTAGACCTAGGTCCTAACACAAGTTGTTGGATAAGGGCGTGCGATGAAATATCCTGTGTCCTGTGTTTCCTGAGCCGTGCAGGCAACAGCTGGTCAAACTGTTAGCTCACCATGTAGCCTGTTCGTTTCTTCTTCTTCTTCTTTTTTTTTTTTTTTTTTTTTTTTTTTTGTGGAAGTAGGAATTGAACCCAGGACCTAGTCTGAACTGTTTCCCCAGCCTTTTTTTTTCCTTTTGAGAGCCTCACAAAGTTACTCAGGCTGGGTTTGAACTTCTGGCTTTCATGTGTCAGCCTCCCAAGCAGGATATAAGCATGCAGCAGCCTTTGTCAGATCAGTCCCCTGAAGGTAGAAGGCATGCTGCCCCTCATAAAATGGACTCTCCAGTGCCCCCAACTCCACAACTATCTTTTTTTTTTTTTTTTTTTTTTTTTGTCTTTTTCATTTTTATCGGTACCAGGGATCGAACTCACGACTGCCTGCTTGCAAGGCAGGTGCTTACACCACTGAGCTAAATCCCCAGCCCCTCCACAACTATCTTTTGCCACCTCAATTCTCTCCCATCCCCATTCCTTGCTGCTTTCTGAACCCTTGGAATAACCAAGCTCTGCCTTAGGGGAAAGGAAGAGGCTTTGCTTGTTTCCCTGCTAAAGACACAGAGGCTTAACCTGACCAAAGTCATGATTCATTTGAGAAGTTTTATTGAATGGTACCAAGATGGAGTCACATCCCCAGGAAACAGCAAGCAAATACTTGAGCAAAGGCACCAGGACACTTCTGTGGAATGGGATATGGGCAGGGCTACCAGGAGTGGTGGAAGCCCAGCTCTGGGTAGGCAGGTGTTCAAAGAGGAGGGGCTGGGGTTCCCTATACCTGTAGAGGGGCCCATCACTGCATAAATGTGGGCCTAACAGTTGAGGATTCCAAGTATGTCCCCTTCTCCTTCTTGGTTCGTCTTTTTAGACATCACCCTCTGTCCCACTTACCACCAGTGCTCAGTTAAAATTACAGGAAGACTTGGCAGAAGGGCAAGGCTGACCAGGAGAGACACAGCAAGTGCAAGAAAGCAGAACAGATTAAGTGCACCGTGGGGCTGGTTAAGACTGATGGCAAGACTGAAAAGCACCCTAAAGAGCTGTAAGGTCCCTTGGCTCTACAGGGCCTTAGGGTGTCACCAGGAGGAGCCCAAGGCCCACTGCAGAAGTCAGTTACCTGCCCTGAGGAGCAGCCTTCCTCAGCCTCAGAAGAACCCTGGTGCACTTTCCCTCCCTGTATCCTTAGCCAGCCAGCCAGGCCACACAGGCCCCAGCATGGCAGCTGGCACTCTCTATAAAAGTCACAGCTAGAAACTGATCACACTCACTGAACACTTGTCAGGCCTGGGCCAGAGATGAGGGCCTGCTTTACTCCCTACCTCACACATCTGAAGCCAGAGAGGCTGAGATGGCACAGGAAAATTGGTGGCACACCTTCCATGAGCCTTTTTCTCTGCATTGTTCCAGCCCTCTCAGTACCCTCTTCTGTAGCTGCTGCTTTCAGCACCCTTTACCATACTTGGCACATTGATGAACTGACCTTCAGGAGGAAACTAAAGCAGAAATCACATGTCCACATTACTGAATTACCAACAGGCAGGGCCAGGTAGCAACTAGGCAGCCAGATTCCATAGTCCATGGTCATAAACATTGCTCCTGTACATGTGTGTACCCTTATGTACCCTCTCCTGCTTCATTGCTTTAGGCTATGAACTCTCCAAGGTGGAGGGGAAGACAGGGACCCCTGAGAAGCCCCTCTCCGACCTTGGCCTCCTATCCTATAGAAGTTACTGGTCTCAAACTATCCTGGAAATCTTGATGGGGCTGAAGTCAGAAAGTGGGGAGAGGCCACAGATCACCATCAAGTGAGCCTGGTTTCACCTCCCTGGGGGTGCATGGCATGGCCTGGGGCTCTTGGGACAAGTGCAGGCCCTCAGGAAACCTGACCTTTACCCTCTCACAGTGAGATCAGTGAAATTACCAGTATCAAGAAAGAGGACGTCATTTCCACCCTGCAGTACCTCAACCTCATCAACTACTACAAGGTAGGGAAGCATGCCAGGGATAGGCAAGTGGGTGCTGAGTGAGCCCTGTGTGGCTGACCACCTTCTGGCCTGTCTTCTGCTCAGGGCCAGTACATCCTCACTCTGTCAGAGGACATCGTGGACGGGCATGAGCGAGCTATGCTCAAGCGACTCCTTCGAATTGACTCCAAGTGTCTACACTTCACTCCCAAGGACTGGAGCAAGAGAGGAAAGTGGTGACCAGGCACTGCCTGCTGCAGCAGCATGAGCCAGAACTGGAGCCATGGTCAGCCCTCTGGGGGCTCCCAGGAGACATGCTGAGAGACAGGGCTGAGGACAGCTCCCAGAGGAGGAGAGGGGCCAGCACCAAGGCACTCAGGGCTCAGGCCAGCTCCATGGTCAGCTGCCTACAAGCCCAGGCCCACAGTGAACCAGGGACCAGAGGGAGCTGGGCAGCTGTGTACAGTGAGATGGGAAGTGGGGCACTCTGTACAGATGGCAGTGATTGTAAAGCTTTCTTTTATAAAGTAAACACTGGGGGTAGGGTAGGTACTGGCTGCAAACTTGTTTTTCCCCCTTTCTGCTTGTTTTTGATAGGATCTTGCTATGCTGGCCTCAAACTTGCAGTGATCTTCCTGCCCAGCCTCCTGAAGGCTGAAATTATAGGCATGGTCACTACCCCTAGCAAAGCTGCAAAATTCTAGCCTACTGCCCCCAGGAATAAATTGTTTCTACAGGCCAGAGCCACCAAGGGCTCTTGTAGGAGAGGGAGCCATACCAGCTTGGGGCACCAAGGTGCCCACAGACTCATGGATACCATGAGAAGCTCATTTATTGGACAGATGTAATCAGTGGCTCCAAAGTGCAGAGCTGGTTGCTGATGTGAAGGAATCCATGGCTTTCGATTCCAAACTCCTCAGTTCTCAGGCACCTGTGCGTGAATCTGCAACAGGAGCACCTCTGCTGTGGTACCCAGCTACTCCGGGCCAGGAAGGCCAGAAGAAAGAGGTGGGCAAGTCGTGCTTAACCTGGCACCCAGTCTGATCCTCTAGAACAAGGCTCCACCAGCCCCTGACTGCTCCCCAGCCTTAACCCCCAAATCCACTGCGGGGAAAAGATACGGGACGGGAAGGGCTGCCTCTAGGGGGTGGGCCCGTATGTCGACTCACCGCTTCGGCGAGGGTAGGCCAAGCTAGGGCACCCCGCACTTTAGCATCCGGGCCAGGGACAGTTTCCAGGCCCCACACTGTGAAGCCGCTGAAGCTGCTGGTGGCTCCGATAAACCGGTCCTGGGGAAGGGGCCTAGCTCAGCATCGGGACCACCGCGCCCGCCTGCCCGCCCTCTTGCCATTCCCCCCTCTCGGCTCACGAAGCTCCGCTCCAGCAGTTCCTGCTCGTCTTCCTCGCCATTGTTCTCGGAGTCTCTGAAGTCCTCCCTCTTTATCTGTCCCTCTTCCCTCTCTGGCACCATCACATATCCCGCGAGGCCGGGCGGCACAGACACCTCCTCGCCACGTAGGCTGCGCCCCCGAAACGACACCTGGAGTCCTGCAGAGAGAGGTGCGGGGCTTTAGAGCGGCCCGGGCCGGGACCGCTCCGGGGGGAGCGGGAGCTGCCGGGAGCGCGGTCCGGCCGCGAGGCTCACCGTCGGTGCCCTGGCTGATGGCGGGCGTGAAGAAACGCTCCACGGGGGCGGGCCGGTTGGCCAGCACGTCACAGGGGAGAAGGTGCAGCACAGCTGGGGCGGCATCGTGGAGCGTGGCGGGGCGCACGTGGACACGCTGCTTGTCCACGGCGACCTCGCAGCTGCTCTCCATTGCCTTGCACTCGCGGGCTGCGGCCGAACTGGCGCGGAAACGCGGGGCCTGTCGGGAGGAGGGGCGCGCCAGCACAGAACTTCCTGGGAAACGTAGTTCTTCCGGGAGCTCGCGCTCCACAAGGCACGCCCAGCTTTTTTTATTTAGCATTTTTTAAAGTGATAGATATTCTTTGTAAAACTAAAACTAGCGGAGCAACAGGGCATGGTGGCGCACGCCTGGTAATCTCAACATTCAGGAGGCTGAGGCAGGAGCTTTGTTGCGAGTTCGAGACCACCTTTGGCTAAAAAGTGAGCTCAAGGCCAGCCTGAACTGCATAGTGAGACCGTCTCAAAAAGACAAAAACTAAAAAAATAAGACGAGTTAAGCATGGTGGCTCACGCCTGTAATCCCAACACTGGGGCGGCTGAGGCACGAGGTTCATTGTGAGTTCGAGACCAACCTGGGCTACAAAGTGAGCTCAAGGCGAACTTGAACTGCATAATGAGACCCTGTCTCAAAAAGACAATAATAAATGAATAAATAAAATTTTAAAAATAAAAGCGAGCTGAGCATAGTGGCGCACGTCTGTAATTCCAGTACTCAGGAGGTTTCTTTTCTTTTTTTATCCATGATTCTTATACAGCAGACACATTTTTTGTACTGACTTGCAAATATTTTCTCATTATGTTTTAGGTTTTGCAGTACTGTTTTTTTTACTTAATTTTTCTCTGTTTATTAGTTCAGATAACCAGATATTTTGTTCAGATATTTTGTCAAGTTCTTCCATACAACTAACATGTAAGACTGGATATTTGGATTAAAATTGCATCAGTTTATAGATATAAAAAAGAAACAGCTGCCAAACATTCAGGGGTTCTGTAAAGATGTTGATTTTGTATTTTAGTTGTTTAACCAGATACCAAAGGAATTTTGTAATAGTTTCTATTTTGTTTTATTGAATTCTCAAAAATTAGTCATCTTTTTCAAATAGTGGTAATTTTTGGTAATGTGTCTTGTAATTTGCTTTCTTTTCTAATACTCCTGCTATTCTATTGAACATATACAATAGCACAGAACCTCAACATCAGATAAGGTCACTCTCTGACTATGAAGAAGATGGGAAATTAATGGGGTGTGGTGGTGCATGCCTGTAATCCCAGCACTCAGGAGGCTGAGGCAGGAGGATTGTTGCAAATTCAAGACCAGCCTGGGCTACAAAATGAGCTCAATGCCACCTTGAACTGCATAGCAAGACCCTGTCTCAAAAAGACAAAAACAAACAAACAAACAAAAGCCAGGAAACCCCTCCATAATCATGTCTCATCATTAGCAAAATGTGAGCACTGCCCTGATGGTGAAAACGATGATGTCCCTCTTCCTTGGATAATAGTGAGGTCACTTCTTTACTGATTACAGCATCAGCTTCCCTCTAGTCTGCTCTCCTCACAGCCCATCATAGAAACAGCCCTGCTTCTGACAGCATTCCACCCAGAGTGAAGCTCCAATTCCCAAGTCCTTCCCCAGATCACTGAACCTGAACATAAACCCAACAAGCCCTACTTTGTCAGAGCACACACTGAGTCTGCACTGTGCAAGATGCTGTACCTAGTTTATTCAACTGTGGAAGTATTCCTGGTAGGCTTCCACTGGAGAATACTGACAGATTTAGAGAGTCTTGCTTTAGTTTTCCATAGAGAATAAAATAGGGACTTCCTGCTGGGCATGGCAGAAACATACTTCAATCCCAGCGCTCAGGAGGCTGAAGCAGAAGGACTGCTTTGAGTTCAAGGGAGTTCGAGGCCAGCCTGCGCTACAAAGTGAGTTCATTGCAAGCCTGTATTGCATAGTGAGACATGGTCTCCCAAGAAGACAAAAAAAAAAGCAATTCCATATTTATATCTCCTGTCTATACAGTTGTGACTACTTCATGTATAGTAGTTACTATAATAAAGTTCATTTCAAGCTGATGTGGCAGTACATGCCTCTAATCCCAACCCTCAGGAGCTGAGGCAGGAGGATGACCTTAAATTAAAACTAGCCTGGAGTACATAGTAAATTCAAGGCCATTTTGGAATACATAGCAAGACCCTATGTAAAATCAAAATTTACGCTGTGTACACACCCATAGTACCAGCACTCTAGAAGCTGAGGCAGGAGGCTGAGGCTGTGAGTTCAAGGCCAGCCTAGACTACACAGGGAGTTCAAGTCCAGCCTAAATTATAGTAAGAGATACTGTCTCAAGGAAAGGAAGGAAGGAAGGAAGGAAGGATGGAAGGAAGGAAGGAAGGAAGAAAGAAAGAAAGAAAGAAAGAAAGAAAGAAAGAAAAGAAAGAAAAAGAAACAGAAAGAAAGGACTTCTGAATTAGTTATCCTTTTTTCTATCAAAATTGGGGGACAACTGGGTGTTTGTTTAATTTTAATTTTCTAATTTATTCTTATCTGTGGTAGGGCTTCAAAAACTTCCTATAGGGGGCTGGAGATTTAGCTCAGCAGCATAAGCACCTGCCTTGCAAGTGCACAGTTGTGAGTTTGATCGTTGGTACTAAAAAAAACCCCAAAAACTTCCTATGAAGGATCAAAGAATATTTTAGTTTATTTTTATTTTTATGAATATGAGTCTACAGTACATGATTACATTCATCATGGAGGATTCATACAGCACATAATACATCTAAATTCTTTTAAAATTCCCTTCCCCCAAGCTGGGCGTGTTGGCTCACGCCTGTAATCCCAGCACTCAGGAGGCTGAGGTGGGAGGATCCTTGTGAGTTCAAGACCAGCCTGGGCTACAAAGTGAGCTCAAGGCCAGCCTGAACTGCATATTGAGACCCTGTCTCAAAAAGACAAAAAGAAAAAAAAAAATTCCCTTCCCCTGTGCTCCCTGCCTCCATTTCTTGGGCCCCTTCCCATGTATATTAGGGTTTTTGAGCCATATATACCACAAATACTCAGCTTTGCTCTTGCAGCATGTAAACAGTCATAGAGAATTCATAAATTAACGAACATGGTTGTATTCTAGTAAGACCTTATTTGCAAACAATCTATAATCCCAGAATTTGGGATGCTGAGGCAGGCAGTTGTGAGGTGCAAGGCCAGCCTGGGCTACATAGTGAATTTAAGGCCAAACTGAACTACATAGGGAGACCCTATCTCCAACAAACAAACAAACAAACCCCAAAACATTTTGATGACATCTAATTCACCTATTTTTTCTTTTGTGGTTTATATTTTTGGCACCATGTCTAAAAAAAAAAACCATTGTCAAATCCAAGGTCATAAAAATTTACCCCTACCTTTTCTTTAAAGCATTTTATAATTTTAGCCATACAACTCTCATCTTTGATCCATTTTGAGTTAATCTTTGTGATGGTATCAAGTAGGATCTTCATTCATCCAGTTGTACCTGATCTATTTGCTGACAAGACAGTTCTTTCATCATTGAACGGTCTTGATACTTTTATGAAAAAAATCAATTGATCAGGGCTGGGGATTTAGCTCAGTGGCATAAGTGCCTGCCTTGCAAGCAGGCAGTCGTGAGTTTGATCCCTGGTACTGATAAAAGGAAAAAAAAAATCAATTGATCATAACTGATTCTAACTTCCCAATTTTATTCCAATGGCCTATAGTCAATCTCACAAGAGCAACACTATTTCGATTACTGTAGCTTTTTTTTTTTTGTCTTTTTTTGGTCTTTTTTCAGTACCAGGGATCGAACTCATGACTGCCTGCTTGCAAGGCAGGCACTTATGCCGCTGAGCTAAATCCCCAGCCCCCTCAATTACTGTAGCTTTGTAGTAAGGTGTTTTTGTTGTTGTTGTTGTTGTTGTTTTGTTTTGTTTTGTTTTGTTTTTTTGGTCTTTTTCATTTTTATCGGTACCAAGGATTGAACTCACGACTGCCTGCTTGCAAGGCAGGTGCTTATGCCACTGAGCTAAATCTCCAGCCCCCAAGGTGTTTTTTGTTGTTGTTTGTTTTTTGCCTTTTATCTTTTCGAGCCAGGGTTTCTTCAGGCTGCCATTCAGGGTGCCATTTACGGTGATCTCAAGCTCTCTTTGTAGCCCAGGCTGGTCTCAAGCTTGCAAAGGCCTCAGCCTCCTCAGCGCTGGGATTACAGGCACGCACCACCACCTGTAGTAAGTTTTGAAATCAAGAAGTGTAAGTTGTTTCTTAAACACATATTTTTAAAGAGCAGTTCAGCAAAACTAAACATGATACAGAGATTTTGTAAATCCAGTGCATCCTCCACTGTCAACACTCCCATCCAATCTAAGGAAAAGAGGTCCCCCAAGATAGTGGCAGAGGGGTTCCCATGGGAAGTGCACCCCTTTGTCCTTCAGTGAGACTGGTGAGATTGGGAAGAAAGAAGCACTAAACATCAGAGTGAGTCACCTAAAGAGTTTCTTAGGGAATTTACAGTGCGCTGCTCAGGTCCTGGCCACAGGACAATGCAAGAAGTGAGGTCCACCAAGGTCCACCTCATGCAGGTCTGTCTGCACCGCGGGGTGCCGGTGGGGGATGGAATGCAGCAGAGGGTTTGAGAAACTGGCTCAGGGCTGGAACTGGTTTCCTTCAGTTCTGAGGAGCAGCCTGACATGTTTATCAGTGCCTGAGGAAGTTCAAAGCCTGAGTTCAGCTCAAGTCTGCTGGAAACAGTCTGCTGCCCGCCAGGCCCCTGTGCAGTCCTTGCATTCTGTTTCTCAATCAGGAAAAAGAACACACACAGGAAACGGAGGGACCCTATAGGCACCACCATTGATTTCAGTGGGAGAACTTATGCCACCACCGAAATCCACAGCAACATCTGAGTTCGGTCTTGGTTTCGTGATGTGTGATAGCTTTCTATCCCTGCAACCCATACCTGAAATAACCAACTTATTAACAGACAGCTCACGTTTTTGGAGATTTCAGTCCAGGACTGGTTGGCTTGGGTTGTGGTGCACATCATGGTAGCTGCAAAACTGCTCATTCACACCAGGATGCTACAAATAAGAAGAAAGGCTATCCTTAATTAGGCAGCAGAGCCCCTGCCAAGCATGAGGTCGAGTTCGATCGCCAATACCAAAAAAAAAAAAAAAAAAAAAAGAAAAGAAAGAAAAAGGCTCTCTCTTGAGGGCCTATATTCTTTTCTGAGCATGTACTTTCTCTGTCTAAGTAAAGAAAAGGAAGAGAAGAAAGGAAGAGAAAGAGCCAGAGAGTTCCCCCTTTTTTGAGACAGGGTCTTGCTGTGTAGCTCAGGCTGGTCTTGAACTCACTTGTGGAAATCACCCTGCCTCAGCCTCCCTATGCTGGTGTTACCAGGCATGTGCCACCACACCCAGCCCATTGTTTCCTCTGAGAACACTGCTCCTATGTGGTACCAATCTCTGACTGGCACCTCTCAGAGGTTCTGCCACCTTCCA